GCCCTGAATGCAGGTAAAAAGAAGAAGGAATCCTGTGTGACCTTGCTTCTGTTGAAACATCTATCGATCCTCTTGTCAGCTCAGGAGAGTGAAACAGGCTTGGATTTTGAGGTTTTGTGCTCTTAGGCTGCACTCCAGTGTGAGCCTTAGCACCAGCAAGGCCCAGAGGAATTTGTATCACTTCCTCAGGTGTCCGTTCCCTGTTCTGCAGAATAGGATCCATGTGAGGATTAAATGAGATGCCAGAGGAAGGACTGGGCCTGGGCCCAGCACAAAGTAACACCTCAGATAACTCAATCTATGGTTGTCATGCAGCTGAATGGCACAGTACATCAGACTTGCAAGAAACCTTCCATTTCTTTGTGGGGTTTTTTAAAAAAATATTTACTCTTGAGTATTTGTGATTGGCTGTCTCAGAAGCAGCTGCCTTAGCCTCTGTGGAGCTCATAGCCCTGATGTTTGATACCCTTGTAAAACTGCAGTCTGGGGTCCCCACCCCAAGTCTGGGAAGCATGAAAAGTTCTGGTCTCAATGCAATGGGCTTTATTTCATTCTTAATGTTGCTTTTTGCTAAAGGCTAACTCAGAAAGGGCCAAAGAGTACTACTCTTGTTTTCCTCAGCCAGAGGAGGTCCCTCTGCTCTGGTCCCTGCATGCTGGTAGGCACAAGGATCCTCTATACAGCCCCCCACCCAACATGCTCTCCTGTCTAATAAAGTGCCCAGCAGGAACCTACTCCATATCTTCCTAGATTGTCAGAATTTCCAAGTAAACTTCCAGGCTCACACTATACCAGCAAATTCTTATCAAAAAGGACACAATACCGAGGGATAAATGAGAGTTTCACTCTCAATGATCAACCTAAAGCTTCCTACTAGAAGGTTAGAAAGTGCCTTCTGATGTCAATTATTCAAAGACAAAAATGCCAGGAGATCTCCTGTACTCTCTTCCCATACCTGTCAGGAAACACAATCATTTTGATAATCCCTGGGGTTTCTTTTCTTTCTTTCGTTCTTTGCTCTCCACTTCCAGTTACCAAAAACAATTTATATGCATCATAATCTAAATGTGAGTAAGAAATGGGTTGGCAGTGTAGCTCAGTGGTAGAGTACTTTCCTGCATATGCAAGGCCCTGGTTTTGACCCCTAGTGCAATCAATCAATCAATCAATATAATAGGAATAAAATGCTACCCAAAGGCCATTCTCAATGAATGCTTGTTACAAAAAGAGGAAAGAAAGAAAAATAGTTCATTCTGGGCTATGTATGGGTAAGCACAGCCTGGGAACACAAATTCAAGTCATTTTGAATGAGTGTTCCTAATAACACCTCTTAAAGGCAGAGAACAAAGGTAACTGTACATCACTCATCCAGAGCATCCATTGGTGGGCCATTCCACAGACAGGGGAAGGGGAAACAGAGACACTTTGGTTGGGCAGGGGTGGACTATCCTGCGCTCTCAGTGAGGGGGCCCGTCTGTCCAGGGACTGCTCTTTGTCACCCTCCAGTGGGGAGTACTTCTGTGTACACCCAGGTCTGCGCGTCTTCTCAGCTTTGATATCCAGGGCTGATCTCTTGCTTCTGACCAATGTGGATCAGTCTCCCCCTCCAGGTCTCTGTTTAACTGCATTTGTCAGAATGATCCAACCACACTCAACACAGGAAGGCCTCAAGGATCAGATCACCAGGAATTAAAGGTCCTATTTTTTGAAATGACTGTATTTACACCTCACAAGAAGCACAAATATTTCTTTTGCTGACAAATCTGTCGCTATTTGTGGAGGTAGCTCTGCGTATAATTAGCCTTTCAGCTATTGTTGATCACTGGTTAAGTATATATTACACCATGAAGGGATGTGAAGGCCTTCCTGGGGCTTCCTGGGCTGTGGACAGCATAGGAAATCCCCCAAGTGGGTCCTTGCCAGATGTTATTCGACAGGTTCAGGAAGTCCTTTGTGGGGAGGTAACTCTAGAACACCTGCTCCCTTCTATGGTTTCTTCACTGCCTCTAGAAAATAACAAGTGAAAATGGTTAGGTAGCAGGGGAGCCATGCCTCGTTTTTGAGCTGAACTTGGTAACACAGCAGATCATGTTTAGAGTTTTCCAGGTCACAGAGTTTTGTGAGAAGAAACAATCCCTTTATCCCAGCCATATGCATGGATTTACTAGATGATAAAAGGGTTCAGAGAGAAGGATGGGTCGCTCATTCTATATTCACCCATCAACAAATATCCACCAGGTGACTGTTTGAAGGCAGGCTTTGGGTGACAAGCAAGGTATGGCTTCTGACCTCAAGAAGCTCCCGGCCCCTGGGGGAACATCAGTGTCCCCAGAAGTGTAGGTAGAGAGCAATCAAGATGCAACAGGGGTGATGGGCAAAAAGCTCAAAGGATCTGCCACCTCCTGAACACAGAACTCCAGGCTCAGGTGACAAGCAGGTCAGAGAGTTTGTGATCAGAGGAGAAGCCATGAGCACAGTCACTTGAATGGCAAGTGGAGATATCCTCTCCTGCCACCCCCTGAGCCCCGCCTCCTCATTCAACATTATGGAAAATTACAGCCTGCTCGGTGGAGATGGTTTCTCCCTGACATGAGAAATCATGTTCCTGTGATTCACTCCACACCCCACAGCCACTAGTTTTTATCACATAGGAGCTATTATTTCCAGCTGGGTTGTTGACAAGGCAAAACTGTTCTCTAATACTTAAGTAACAGAGTGGGAAACAGTTGACAAAATATGAAAAGGTTGATTTTGATTGTACATACAATCTCTTCTTTTCAGAACAAAATGTGTTTGAGCAGACCTGAGTCATCCCTTACAAGGTTGCGAAGTGATTTATATATTTAGATGGTTATTTAATTGGTTTATTTTCAAGCCATGACTACTAGTGTTCTCTCTGCATATCATAAAAATTCGAGATATAATCAAAACACACCCATGCATGACTCAAATCCCACTCCCACCAATAACCATTTGTCATGCCTCACATGTACATTTGTGGAATAAATCAAGAACTATTTATTGGGTACTTACTACACCCCGGATTCTGGTAGGCACTGGGGATTGGAGGAGTGAGGAAAACCTGGCTGCCCTCAAGCTCACAGAAGAGAAGCAATCTGAGATGTATGGATTTCCCACTGCTGCTATAACAAAATAACACAAAAGTAGTGGCTTTCAGCACCAGAAAGAAAAATTCTCTCCTTTAAGAATTGCTGTGATTAGGCTGGAACCATTAGGATAACTCAAGACAATCTTCTCATTTAATGGTCCTTTACTTAATCACATTTAGAAACTCCCTTTTGCCGTGTAAGATGATACATATTCTATGACAGGTTCCAGGGGCTGGGGGATGTTATTTTGCCTGCCACCCACAGCCAAACGGTCAGTAAAAGCTCACATCTATTGCCATAGCTCTGTGCCTGGTGCCCTTCTAAGTTTTTACTTGAATTAACTCATTTAGCCCCTATGATATCCCTACAATAAAAGCTAATGTTACTCTTATTCATAACTGAGGATGATCAAAGTGTTAAAAGGTAAAATGACTTGTCTGAGGTCTCCAAACTGGTCAGTAAGAGAGCAAAGGTGTTAGCCAAGCATTCTAGCTGCAGAGCTTACAGAATTAGAAAGGGGCTCTCCCACAGAATAAGTTGGGGATGCCTGTACTGAAGCTAAGAGCCTTTCCTAATCAATTTCCCGTTTTAGGTCCCAGCTGGCCCTCCCAACCCCTCAGGAGTTCTAGGCAGACAGGGGTCCTCTAACTGTGTCTCAAGGACTGCTGTAGTATGGATCTGAAATGTGGCACTATTGGCAGGGGATGGAACCTTTTAGGAAGTGGAGCCTGGTGGAGGGAAGTCAGGTCATCAGGGGCCTGACCTTGAAGGGACTATAGGAACTCGGGCCCCTTTCCTTCCTCTTCACTACGTGGTTGCCATGATGTGCCGTGATGCCTTTGTTCTACCATATGCTCTCCACCACGATGTGTTAAAGCATCACAGGCCCAAAAGCCATGGCATCAATAGACCATGGACTAAAACCTCCAAAACAGCAAGCCAAAATAAGCCTTTCTTTTCTGTAAGTTGATAATCACAGGCATTTTGTCACAGTGACAGAAAGGTGACTAACACAAATGCCAAGCTGAGATTGGGATTCTCAACAAAAACAAGCAGAAGTCCATAAAACTTAGGGAATTCTGGCATGGTGCTTGTAGTTATCTTTGAATCTAGGCATTAACTGAGAAAAGATGTAACAATGGAAAGTATTTGAAATATACTTTTATATATACATTTAATAAAGTATCTCTTACTGATCAGAATATTCATATACTTTAAAAAAAATCTACAGTCCCTGAGCCATAACCCTGAGCTTCATAAAACCCCCTGAAAACAGGGGATTTATTTCCTTTGCAAAATTTGTAAGAAACTAATTTCAGGAGCAAAATCTAACCTCAAATAACATGAGGCTATTTATAGACTTTCTTTATCCCATCAGTAGTGAACACCATCTTATTTAAATGCAGAAATACTAATGTGTCTGATTATTAGGTGCCAATCAGACTCTGCCAGGAACATCATTATATGTGGCACTACAGACCTTATTGTCTTCCTAAAACCTGAAGTGTCCAGCACCCAAAACACATTTGGTCCCAAAGGCCTGAAATGAATGCTATGGACCTACAGTAGATGCCTGTGTGAGGTAGATGATTAGTTTAGACCTTACACCCATTGGTATCTTGGAATAAATTCTCTTACATGCACACCAAGCTTTCTGGCCTGCTTTGCAATTTTACCCAAGATCTTCTGTCCCAGTTTAAAATGTCTAAGCATCTAAGCTAGGAACTACTTCATCTCCTAGAGGCTAGTTTCCTCCTGTTTAAAATAAACACTGTATGACTCTAATATATTTAAAGGAAATATTTCAGTGTAATAAACTACAGAATGATGTGGGATGGTTTATAATCACCATGCAGAATTATGGAGCTGCGTAGATCACTGTGGATGCTCATTACAGCTTGCCTTAAAGAAGCATGCCGAGTCATATTCCCTGGCTAGGAAGCTCTCAGAAACTCCAGGCCAGTGGAGCGTGGCCAAGAGAAATCACACTGGCTCAGGAGACATCAAGTCTCCTGATTCTAATACTGCCTGTGCCATCTCAGGCTGACTAAGAGACAAGTGTGTGCTTTACCTCTCTGAACCTCTGTTTCTTCATCCATTGAAGGTAAGTTTGATTAACTCTGAAATGCTACATCTGAAATGCTACGGACTCTAAGGAGTGCCTTTTTAGGGACAGACAGGCATTCAGGGGCATAAATTCCATCAGCTGCCTGCAGAATTAAATGCATGTTTTATACTGGTAAATTGAATTTGTACCAGCTAATAAAATACCTTCATTTATATGCATGTAAAAGTTCATAAAGAAGCAAAGGAATCAACGGTTTATCAAATTTTCATCTAAGATCAGTGAGTGAACAACTCCCTCTTGATTTTCTTGGGACTGGTACCGAGAAGTCAGCCCAGTACAGAGCTGACCCTAGTGGTGATGTTTTTAATTTGGCACTTACTATGCGTTGGCCATTGTGCTCTGCAGGGCAAGTGGAGAGGAAGAAACTGGAGAGTTTGCATTTATTGGTTTGTGCTACTGTGCAGCAGCTATGCAGCTATCACTGCATAGTGGAATCTACTGCCCCCAGGCCCAACAGTGATGGAGAAGCCGTGGACCGGCATGTCAATTGATCTGCTTTTTGCTGTATCACAAGGAATTAAGGTGGAACATTGATGACAGAGGCCAGGCACTATTCTAAAATTAAGATTTGTTTTCTGATTTTTAAAATTTGCACACTGATTCTAATTTTCCATCTGAATGCAAAACACATCACATTCCTTTAGGCTTTACCTGAAGAGCTAAGAGGTATCTCTCATGGGTTAGAGCACAAACCATTAGCCCTAACTGGATGTGTACCTGGCAACAATCTTAGGGCCTCTCAGCAAGCCAGGAGCAGCTGATTCTGGCCTCCTTGACATTGTCTGTGCCCTTTTTGGAATCAGCAGACAACTCAATTACCCCAGAACATGATTCAGAGCCAGTGCTAGTGCCTTCGGCCCTACTCCACAGCCACGGCGGGAGAACTGGATGGTGGTTTAAGGCCCATCTGGCCCAGGGATCCCTGGGAGATTTGCCCATTCAGCCAGGCGATGAGTTAAGCCAGGCTGACTTGTGGAACCACCAGACTCCCCAGGTTCTCCGAACCTTATGATGCCTGCAAACAGGGACCTGGACATGCATTCAGGTACCAATGTCTGCAGAGCAGAAGGGTCACCAGGTACCTACTGTGTCTTTCCCCAGTCTCACTTCCCAGGTATGTAGCTTGGCTCCAGGTAGCAGCCCTTTCTTCTAAATCACTTCCTGAACCCATGCCAGGGTGAGCCCTGAAGGTCAGGGGCTGAATGGATCAGGGACAGGCACAGTGGTGTCTGAAGCTTGCCTCTAGGTTTCTTAAGAGACATTTTGTGCACTGCAATGGGGTCCTGGTTCCTTTCTGCTCCCCAGGGACTAATCAGGGGATTGCTCCACAGTCCTGTTGATCAATGCTCCACTGTGGACAGCCACCCTGTCCAGCCACCCTGACTCAGCTTCATCCTCACTCTTCTTCTGCCCTTGTTTCTGAATCTTCCTCCCTCAGATGCCTGGATTCTCTTTCTAAAGCCATCTTCTCCTGCCCTCCCAGGGAAGTGTTCCCATGGAGCATCTTGGCCAGGAGATCTGGATGGCTGGAGGTATTCTACAGAGAAAGAAGCACATTTTATGTAGAAGAGCTGGTGAGGTCAAGAACTGTCTTATGTCCTAGGAATAAGCCACAACCTGTCACATTTCAGCCTCCAAAAGGAAATTATTTTCAGGTGGATCGAAGCTGTAGTTGCTTAAATCAACCCCCAGAGACAGATCATTTTCCTTCATGGTCACTGGTTCATCTGCACAGTGAGCTGGAAGAACTCATGTTGATTTCCTGAGGAGTAACCAGGACTGGGCCCACAGCCCACAGTGGCCAGGAGAGCCTGGACCTGTGTGGGTCACTCTGGCCCCTTCCCCCCCACTGCCCTTTCTCTGAGGGGAGCACAGCACCACCAGTGCCTTCTACCATGGTACAGCTCCTTCCTGGCCCTGGCTGCAGTGGGACAGAGCATGATTGGTTGTAAGACTGCGGTCTGCATCATGTTTACAGATGACACAATGGTGCCACGGTGGAGAGGTGACAGCCAGGCTCTGTAAACCTCATTCCTTTTCCCACCACCCAGGTGTTGAGCTAAGTGTGTAAGCAGAGATAAACCCAGCAGGCTTCTCCTGAGGGAGTCTCTCTCTGTCTCTTTCTCTCTCCCTTTCTCTCTCTCTCTCTCTCTCTCTCTCTCTCTCTCTCTCTCTCTTTCTCTCTCTCTCTCTCTCTCTCTCTCTCTCTCTCACACACACACACACACACACACACACACACACACAGAGTCATATAGACCTCTTTGGGTGATCTGCTTCAACTAGAGGTGGTGACACTGACACCTGAGGGAGACCAGTGACCTGTGACCCCAGTGCATGCTCAACTCAGAGGACACAGGCTCCAAAAGTGACTTGCAGCATCCCAACTGTCACAGATGAGACATGGGGTCACTTTTGTCAACCAGTGTCCCAGGGGGGTCTGCAGCTTTGCGTGAGTCCCTGAGCACAAGAGGCAGGTGGTGCCTCCTGCCGGCTGTCAGGGGTGGAGAGGCCAGGCTTCCTTCTGGTGTTTTCAGTGGTTTGTTGTCTGCAGGATTTTTTTCCCTCTCTCTTCTACCAGCCATTCTCTTTGCTAGAGGCAGTTATATGCTGTGCTGGATTTATTGGCCTTATCTAGAATCTATTTTCTCCAAAGGCATCATTGCCAACGTCCACTCTTCTATCCTGCAGTGTAAAGAGATCTGAAATGGACATGAAATGGAAGAAATTTAACATCCAAGAGGAATCGGAGCTGGGTGGCACAGGACAGTCCTACTCCTGGAGCAGCTCCGAGGCAGAGAGGATTGCTTAAATCAATTCCCCTCACAATCCGGCAGAAAACCAAGTGAGGCTCTCTTCTGGGTTTAAAAAAGAAAGGAAGAGAAGAAAAGTCATGTGTGTGTTAATCTTCTCCCTCTTTTTATGTAACAGGTTCAGCCCATGTGTGGGAAGTCTCAAGCCATATTACATCCAGGAGGCAAATTTTAGATTTTTGGGCTCCCTGCTTGACAATGATGACTGGGCAAAAAATTCATCATATGCAGTCCATCATCACATCCCAAAAATAACTACCAAAAAAAGAAAAAAAACTCAAATCTGTCCATTTTTGTCTTAGGTGACATCACTCTCATCTAAGCCAGTGTTACCTCATTTGCACTACAACAGTGACCTCCTGTAATACATTGCCCTCCTGCCCACTGCTTTTTTACTTCCTTTCTTTGCAGTGCCTCTCCCTGCAGAGGCGAGAGTCGCTCTCAGTTGAACTCAGAAGTGGCCACATAACTTGATTTGGACACGATAAGTAGAAGTGACACATGACATACCTAGGTAGAGATTTCGACAGCCACATCCCCTTCCCTGGTACTGGGAGCATCGGTGTTCAGGATGCTGCTGCTCCACCAGCCAGCTGCTGGGCTGCACAGATGTGGAGCTGAGCTCCCAGCTGACCTTCAAGGCATCTGTGGTGGGCTGAGAAACAAAATTGTGCAAGTAAAAGCTGCAGCAGTGTTGGGTGCTTGCAGCTGCAGCACAGCCAAGCCTGTCCTGGGGGCGGGTCCACTTCCTGAATGCTTTCTTGCTTTCCACCTTGTCCCACATCAATCCAGTCTTCAAATGCAGCCAAAATCATCTCTTAAAAACAAATCAAACGTGCTAGAAATCTTTCCACGGGCTTCAGTGGCACTTAAAATGAAATCTGAGCTTGCTGTCGGCACCTCTGCTTTGGTCCTTGTTTTTTTGTTTGTTTGTTTTATTATTTTTTGTTTTGCTATCCTCTTCATGCATCGCTTGTCCCCATCACCACTTCCTGTTCATGTTCCCCAGTGACAGTGGCTTTCTCTCATTGTCCCTAAGAAACAAGAATCTTAGCACTGGCCTTTCCCCTATTTCTACTCGCTAAGACACTATTTCACCATTTTTAGCATAGTTGGCTCCTTCTTGTACTTCCTATTTCAGCTCAGATGCCTCCTCCTCCGGGAGCTTTGCCCTGTTTAACTGTTAAATTAAATATTCCCTGCACTTATGAGCAACCATATCCTATTCATATGTGGCACCTTACTGTGGTTCTTAATCAGCTACCTACGTAATTGTTTACTTTTCTATTGATTTTCTATTTCCATGGAGAGAGACACTCCATTAGGTTAGGCCCACGGATGTTTTCCCAGTGTTGTGTTCATTCCTTACCCAGTGACCAGTATGTATACACTGAATGCAGAATGAATGAATGAACACTCACAGTTAGTCTTGTGACAGTATTGTGGCTCAAGTGATAGCAGTAGGAGCTCACGTGAATATCCTACATGTCAGAGATACTTTCAAAGAGAAAAACATACATGAAGAGGTATAGATCTGAGTGAGACAGATGCTGACATAACAGCAAAGGCCTATTTCTAGGTAAGACAGAAGGCTGGTTCTAATATTAATCCAGAATGCTAAGAAGCATTCAAAGAAAAGCAAGACCACAAATAAAAATCTCATGGGCCCAGCCATTAGACAGGATTTCCAAGGGACAGTTCTTCTGCCTCCTCACGACCAGTATTTCATTCCAAAGCACAACAGCAAAGGAAGGTTTTCTTCCCTTTTGCTCAATCATCTAATAGAACTTGGAAAATTAATAATCCCCATATACATTTTAATCCCTAAATTTTTCGTTTTTAAGTTTAAATATTTGCAAAATAGATACCATTTTAGTTTTTAATAAGTGCTTTTTAAAACTCCACTTCACTTTCATGTTTATCAAATTGAACCTCAGTACAGTACTGTAGTGATTTAGCGCTTACCACTGCGAGGTATATGAATATGGTCTTCCTTTATAAGTTACAAGCTTTACATCATTCTTTTCTTCTTGAACCTATGTGAAAATGAAAATATCACTTTGCCCACTGAATTTTTAATTATTATAAATTTCTTGACAATATCAATACATTATAAATTTTGATGATTATTAGGCATAAAAGTCAAACTTACTAAAACTGCATCTGTCTATCAAGACTGCTGGTGTAGGGCTAAAATTCCAGCACTCTAAAACGCTGAGGCAGGAGGGTCACTGGTCCAAACTCAGCCTGGGCAATTTAGCCACTTAGTGACACCCTGCTTCAGAATTTTTTAAAAAATGGCCAGTGCTGTGGCTCACTGTGAAGGCCCTGGTTTGTCGTTAGGGTGAGAGACATGAGGCTTCTTTTTCAAATCAGTTGATGAACCTGTGGCTTAACATTGGTTTTTGTTAGATAAGTAAGTTTCAAAAAACAATTATATTTCTATTTATTGTTTTAAAATGTAATTACAGAGTGAAAGGTTTGGCCCAGACAGGACACTGTAGCCAGGAAAGCCACAACCGGAAGCAGGAAGCCCCATCTTGCCCTGCCCCTAGGAAGTTACCTGTGATGCCATCTTCCCGCCCCTGGGAATTTACATATGGCGCCAAACCTAGGACCAATGGGCTACCTGTGTATCCCTAATGCCCGCCTTAGGTTCCACCCCAAACCGAGGCTATTTACAGGCCCCCATGCCACGTGTCCGCCGGAGAGATCGCCGGACGCCAGCGGTGGGGTTGCCGGTCATCTCTCTCCGTGTTCTCAGAATAAAGGCCGCTTTTTATTTTATATTTCTCATCTTTTGTTAATATTTTTCATCTTTTGGAAATAACTCTATCACAGAGATATCTTGCTCACAAAAATTTGTAAGTAGGTATATATGAATGGCAGACAAGCAGTTTTTAGAGATACTACTTGATTCTTTAAAGGCTTTCTGATTTTTGTTCTAAAACTAACAGAGTGATCTATCATCATACATTATTTTTAATACCTGAGAACTGACAACTTGATTGGTTTTCCTTTAGTTGTTCTAAAAGCAAAGAGCTGAAATTCACCCAACTTGCAAAAGGATTTGTTACCCAGTCATTAGAAATCCACTATATGCTGAGTAATACAACAAAACATCTCTATCAAAGATTATCAAGGGCTGGGGATGTAGCTCCAGGGTAGAGCCCTTATCTCATATGCATGGGTTCAATGCCCTGAGTACGATTCCCCTAAAAAAGTTCTACCAAATAACTATAACTTACACATTTTACTTCTCACTTGAGGGTACTATAATCAATCAGATAGATAGATAGATAGATAGATAGATAGATAGATAGATAGATAGATATAGAAATATGTATTTGATAGGTTATTTCACTAGATAGGTTATTTCACTAGAACTTTTTCAATATATCTCTTATTAAATGCTTTAATATTACATACTTTACATATTTTAATACAACTTTGAATGAGTACATTTAGTTCATTCTTTACTGGAAAAGACCTGTCATACCAACAGTTTCCACTGTCAGATCAGTTAGCTAAAGCAGTCTTGTCTTCATTAGTCTATCAAATATCACAGATCTCACTCAGCAGGTAATGTTTCTTTAGTCAAGAAAAGACAAGGTTTTTTAAAAAATAAAATACTCTCTCTCCATGGTTCCATGGAATTTCTTGCATGTTGGGCAACCCATAACACTTAGATTTGTGATGGATAGAAGATACATGCTTTGCTTTAGTAAAGTAGGAGAAAAGAAATGATAACAGAAAATCTTCTCTTCTTATCACATCCACTCTAATTAGAAGCATACACAGTGAATATCTAGAAACAAATTCCCTTAAATCTAGCCATGCTGGTACACCTCTTGGAAGGTCTTAACGCCAGATCATCACTACTGATAATAAATTGTAGCAGTATTTTTGCAAAGCTGTAGATTGAACCCAGGGCCTCACACATGCTAGGCAATCAGTACACATCCAAGTCACACCCTCAGCCCCCAGACTTGAAGACCTGTGCCCTGTTGTTCTTGGAAGAAGTCTATCTTGGGCTAAAGACTGAGCCAAAATCATCCTCTGTGAAGGATCCAGATAATGGCATGCTAAGGAACCAAGCATTGCCTCCTCCTTCTCCTTCTGGACCTGCCTTCCTTCTCACCATATCCAGAAAATAAGGCAGAACCAAAGGAGTGGGACCACTCCCAGCTTGGGAACTATGACCCTAGCTGCTGGGGATTGTTCCACCTCTTCGAGCCAGTAAAATGGGAATTAGGCTTAGGTTCTGCCACCTATATGATTGGCTCATTCTCAACACAAAGGATTTTCTAATTTTAGGTTCAATATTTATTCTCAGTGAGTCAAAGTAGTTCGTTTCAATAAATTTAAGCTTTACCCAGAAGCTAAGTCAAAGTAGGACATAAGACAGATTTTTCATTCACTTACTCACTGGCTTGTACCAACACAGTTTTGATATGCTAAATACTTTCTATAGCAGTGCTCAGCCTTCACAATAACCCTACAAGGAAGCTATTTTGAAGAAACTGAGACGAGATAAGCTTTGTTAGGGTGCCCTGTGTCTCACAGTAGCAAGGGGAAGACACAGATTGCAAATCCTTTGCAGTTCTCCCTATGCTCTGCTGCTTCAATATTTTGACCCACTGTGGCTACCATACACAGGAAATGTAGGGTGCTACTCACAAACACTAGATATGATTTTCCTCTATGTATTTTTTCTGCCAGTGATTCAGTGTTATAAGTCAGACCCCAATAATAATAGGAATTGAATATCACGGAGATACTAAAATCACGTGATCCCCAAATCATATTTTGGCCAATAATCTCAGCCTCCCACTCCATAGGGCTTTTAGAAGGATTCCAAACAAGTCACAGCATTTGACATGTTCTATTTTTATCAACTTACTTTTCTAGCCCTATCTTTTGGTAGCGCTAATATTATGCAGAAGAGAAATTTGAAAGTTAGCCTACAGGAAGAGAGAGACAGGAAAAAAATTCAAGTGTTTAAATTGCATGTGTACACATGTGAGATAGTTATTGTGATATGGGTCTTCATTTCATAACTTTGAGTTGACATTTTAAACTTATCTTCAATTAAAGTGCACAATCAAGAGCATTGATTATGGCCTCAGGGTCTAAGTCAAAGTGCCAAGTATAATTAAGTTTTGGATCACAGGCAGGGAGGGGCTGTATTAGACACTCAGTCTCCTCAGCCCACCTCTGACAGCCCTGTTACTGTCCCCTTCAACACAAAAATCTCCTGGGACTCTCTACTGGGCAGGGTTCTCTGATGCTATGGGATACTCAGACCACCAAAGGCACAACCTGGAGGTGGTGAGAAGATGCTATCTGTTAATAACCTATTTCAGCTTACAACCAACAGGAATGGGAGCCAGGGAAATGCTCCAATCTCCTATCTCTCAGGGAGACAATTCTGGGACACATGTCTGTGCACACCTTTGAATTAAGCCTCTGTTATGCAAACTACACCCTGGAATTCTGGTTTATCTTTATGAGGGGTTACACAATTCTGCTCCACCCAAAGAATGACATCCTCTTTAAGTCACTATCTTATCATCAATAATGATGAAATGTGTCAGGAGGAACTAAAAGAGAAGGTTGCAGCAATCACAGCTTTTTAAATACGTGTTTTTATGATGCAATGTGGTACCATATTCAAAAGTGTTAGTTCTTTTTAATTGAAATTTAACTCTGGCCTTCTTGTCCCTGTGTTTGGCTTGTTGGAGCTGAATAAAGGCAGAGTCCCAGCTTTTCTTTCTAGCATTTGTGTGAACTTGAAAAGTCCTTAGCACTCCTCCAGCCCCTCTGCTTTCTAAATGCATGAGAAGATGAACATGTCAGAGGACTGCAGCCCTACGCTGACAGCATAAAATTCATGACCTGTTTGTTTTTTCTATTTTGTCCTTTAAAGAGTAACAAAAATCTTCTTTCCCAGGAACCCTCTAGTGAGAATTTGCAAACTGGTTGTAACTTGGAATTTGCATGTCATTTCTTTAGCAACATTCTGGGAACGTGTAAAATGTACAACAGTACAAAAGAACACCGTGTTAAAAAAGATGTTGCTGGCAATACTATCTCTATTCACAATAAGACACTTGAAACAGCCCTGCAAACTAGCACCATGCCATCAGTAAGGGGTCAGCCAGACCCAAGCTTTCCCTGTGAGTCAGCACTATTCATAGACTATAGGGAGAGAGAAGAAAGATTCAACAGGAAGCAACCCTCCCTATGAACCAGCACCATGTAATGGCTGCAACTGGCAGGGGACAGCCAGGCTCCAGCCCCTTCTGGTGTATGGGCTGGCAAACAAGTAGAGCCAGTCCTACCCCACCCCCACCCACCACCCACCCCTGAAAGCTACCGGCTGATCCAGAGAAACACAGGCTGTGATGCTAGCTATTGAGGTGAAATGCAGTTTGATGCTTGTTTTGTTTTTATTGGTTCTATCCTGTTCTTTTCTGTTTGATTTTTACTCTGAAAGTATCTGCAGCAATTTTGAAGACAACAAGAGGCATTATGGTAACTATTATTGATTTCATATTGTTTTGAAGTCCTATATCACTTACACTGGTTTGTTTTGATTGGTTTTATTCTGTTTTATTTTCTTTGGTTTTATCCTCTTTAAAATAAAAATATTTTTAAAAGACTTAAAAAAACAAATTTAAATGAGGGCTTTGGGCACAGCAGTTGAAAGTGGCTTCACAGGAGCCATACATTTCTTAGCATTTTAGTTGAGAACTAGAGAATTAGGGATAGTAAAACCTGATGCACGCAAACTGGCCACTGCAGACATTATTAATTTATCACAGTGCTCTTTCTTCCCAAATTTGAATGCAGTTTCTGTATTCTTACCACAGGGCCCTTCTTAACCAATGGGGAAAAATCAGGAACAATAAGTATAAAATAATTGGAAGGATACTTTACACCTCAAACAAAACAAATCCCTTGAGAGGATCATTGCCCCCAGAGGAGTTGTTTCTTAATAGGAAAACAGCATAAACATATATTTAATATTTAGAGGAGAGTTTGCTCATTGTCTTCCACATACCTTGTGTGAGTCAGTTTTCTGTCACTATAGCAAACACCTGAGATGATCAACTTACATAGAGCAAAGGTTATTTGGGTTCATGACATTAGAGTTTGAAGTCTGTGACTGGTTGTTTTCATTTCCTTTAGGCCTCTTAGGGGGATGCCAGATGGCAACAGTAGGTAAAACAGAAAACCACTCACCTCATGGCCTAGAAGAGAAAGATATGAAAGCTCACTATGCCTTTCAAGAGAATGCCCCAAAGTCAACTATTAAAGTTTCCACCACTCCCCAGTAGCCCCAAGCTGGAAACATCCAAACCATGGCACATTTGCTCTTCCAAGAAAACAGAAAAATTACCTTTTACCTGGCCACATGACTTCCAGCTGCAAGACTGTATATTTCTCAGTGTCTGTCATGGTTAGGTATGGCATAGACCTAAATTCCGATCAATGGATATGAGCTGATACACTTTGTAGGGTGTTTCCTTTAAAGACAGGACAAGCCCTTCTTCTTTTCTATTGTGGGGAAACTTGATGTTATGGCTACAGAGACCCAGGAGCCATCTTGAGCCTAGAGGATTAGAGTCACATCCTAGGATTTAAACTTGGAAAATCTTAAAGAGGCTTTCATGCTTGATAAACACGGAGGCAGCCCATTGGACAGTCCATCTCCAAATGTTTTTGATTAAGAAAGAAAAGCATTTCTACCTTATGTAATGCAGTGATTGATTGATGGTATC